CTTAAACACATGCTATAATTCACAACGATTCACGCACTTTACTTACGACTTGACTCAATTATCTGTCTCCCTATCTCTCAGTCTGCTATCCAATTAATTATCTTGCTTTATTTGCCATGCTTATATACAAGAATAGAGGGCATCTAGAATGCACTCGCCTCTTCATGAACCTTCTAGACACTTATCATGTGTGACCACCGCTGTCGTAACAATACTTTAATACCAATAATAATTATCATAAGAAAACGACTTGTTATAAAATTTTGTTTAGGTTGTACTGTAATTAAAAATTTTAAACAAGTAATAAAGACATTTTATTGCCAAAATATTAAACATTCATGGTATTTTCATACTTAAAAGTAAATTATTTTCTCAACGTAAATATAAATACAAACATTTTAAATTCAGCATTAAACTTCAGCAGTTTTAAACAAACACCTTGATTAATGAATCAAAGTTGTTTAAAATGGTTCATTACTCTATTAAACAAACATTTTACAATTGTATTTATTCTTTACATATGTACTTTCTATACATTTTAAGATATTTCACATCAACTTGTAATTGAGCCTTATAATTATTGTTAACACTAGCATAAAATACCCACGCTCTACTGTGGGATTCAAAGTCCCCCCCCCCACACACACATGATTCACAGAGGCCCTAATATACTGATTAAGCTCCTGCATTACCCCCAATTATTTCTATAGCTACTCTAAGGAAAGGAGGGTTCATAACCAAAACAAAACCCTGTTAGGATACCAACCCATGGTACCCGAGCATGTGTGACAAGTTTGGTTCAGCTGGCTTGTGAAAGGGGAGGGAGATACGATCATAGTTTCAAACATGGAACCACTGGGATCCATGATGGAGGGAGGGGGTGCAAAACCTGTGCCAGATCCAGGTTCAACAACCCTGAAAACCTATTCATGGACCTGGATGACCTTACAGGAAAATTTTAGCCAACCTTGGTATGATAATTATACCATATAGAAAAGGGCATCCCCCAGACAACTCCAAGATTACCTGTCATGTTTCATCCTGCTAGCCCTATAACTATGGAAAGATTTAGCAGCATAAACATACAAAGAAGTTACAAACTAAATTATTATAGGATGTATGTAGGGGAAACAATTATTATTTTTTGAACTTCTAAAAATTAGCCTTTAATAAAATGTGTCTGAACAATCAGTAAAAGTGTATCTGTACAATAAACAGATTTTTCCATTATGAACACTTGTTGTAGACTTAAGAAAAAATAAAAAGTTCCAAGTACTAAAATAAAAAATGCATTAATACAAATGTAGTTGACATATAAATTTTACTGTGGCATGAATAAGCTCCTATTAACAGGGCAGCTGAACAGTTATTATGAAGTCAAGTGGTTTCTGTTCACATTTATGCAATATATACTGATGAAAAACAAAATAATATACATGTATAGTTTTCAAGATGAGAGAGACAGACTATACACTTATAACTTAAGAATAAATATCATTAACTAAAATATTTAAACAAACTGCTGGCACAAAGCACTTATTAACTATATTACTTTATAGGTCATGTTTACTAAATGAAACATTTTAAAAGTACTTCTGTGTAGATAAACATGCAACACTTAGGAGTCTTGCTAATATATACATTAAATATATACATTTCTCTACTCCAATTCACTTGTGAATTTTCTCGTAAGTGTTCATCAAATGACCATTTTATTTTATTAACCTCTACCACATGTATTTTTAAAGGATATAAATGCAGATATTATAATAAAGGTACATGAAGATACAAATGTATAAGTATGATATATTATACATTAATGAATTAAATATATCAGAGAATTAGTTCAGTTAATAAACAGGTTTGTATCTAAATTACAAAGATTTATATTTTTATTAAATTTTAAAATATCTACTTTTTATGCTATCAGTCCATATTTCAAAGCTTCTTTAAAGCCAACCTACCTAACCACTTAACTTCTTTCAACACTTGGATTACATACTAATAATTTTTTTTTTCAAACTTGAATAACTGCATACATGTGCTTAAAGATAACTAACTTTAGAGTAATTTTAAGAAATACAGACAACATAACACATGTTTAATGTTTATTATGTGGTTAACGACAAAAAACAACAACAATTAATTATTAGATGATGTATTTTTTTCTCAATGGCATCTTTATTGTGGGTTGATATTTCTTTGCCCCAAATACATCAAAAAGCAGCCTCATAGTAGATAAATTATAAATCTACAAACTTAATTTAATTTCCTGCTTACAATTATCATCTTACTTTGGTTTTTAAGCAAGATGTAACATGTCTGACAAGCATGGTTGGCATAAATTATACAGCTTTGAAGTATAAAACTACGCCAGATTTACATACCTTATTACCAAACTTTACCATTACCCTCTATTTCTATCAAAAGTGAAGCAAATCTTCAATTTACTATATTAGACAATATCATAAGCCTATAGCTAAATTATTCCTTGTCAAGAATCTTGTTAAATAATAAAGGATTTATGAAAATGTATAACTAAATATGTACCTTCTGCTAATAAAATTGTTTTAGAACACAAACCCAAACAAGGTGATTACACAAGAAAACCATCTTCAACAAGTATGCAAGTTAAATCCTATTTTTAGGTATGCTTCTCATGCAATATCAATAAAATTTTATATGTTTATAGATACACACAGCTTACTCATTAAAACAGCTCTAAGTAATTGTTTTAGAGGAAAGCCACATTGGGCTATCTGCTGTGTCAACTGAGAGGAATCAAACCCTGGATTTTAGTATCATAAGTCTATACAGTTACCACTATCCAACTAGGGGACAGCTCTAAGTAACAGCACACTGAATTTCCAGGAATTATCAAAAAATAACATTGAAATTACTAAAATTTCAAATTTATGGTATAGAAATTTAAATATAGTCACATAAATTACAAACATTATTATTGAATAGTCGTAAACATATTTTATTTTATGGAAATTAATCATATTTAAAAGTTTTTGTTGTTATTGTTCTCCTAATTTTTTGTTTTCAAAATGTAGATTAATAATTAATAGTACTTAACTAATTAGCCACCTTACCCTGCTACACTTTTTTAAGTTATATGTTCAAACATTATCACCACCTTGACAATAACTTGAAAAAGATATTTATTTATAAAGTATAGTTTGCAAATTGTAAAAATAAAGCGCAACTAGAATAAAAAATAAAGTTTTAAGTACTCCCTCAAAGTAGTTATATGTTTCTAAAGTTTTTCTCTGACTGTAAGTTTCAACAACAAAGACTTAAGTACTATACCAGCCCCCTTTTCCATGAAAAGCTGGTACAGCCTATGTAGTTGAATTTTATTTTTTGTTGTATGCCAGTTTATCCATATTCACGATTTCTCATGCTTAGTAGACTCTCAAGGAAAATTTTACTTCGAAATTTGATTTTGAAAGCGAGTTTAAAAAAAAAAACTTTTAGAATATTAGTAAATCACTGTAAAACAAAATATTCGGTAAGCTACATCAAATACATGTACGTCACTGTCACGGTAAACTACTGTAGGAGTGATATAGAGTATCAGTAAAAGTTATTAAAAAAGTGACCAAGACAAGGTCGCATCTTTTCCATTTTTACTACTCTACAGTATCTAGCGTAGCTTAGCCGTAAGATTCTTAATTTCCCTGACAACATATTTCATTTGAACTTGGATAACATAATATGTACTTATATTTATATCCACAAAAGGAACATAAAAATGGATAAACAAAAAACACTGCCCACAATGTGCCTCACCTTTCTTGCTATAAATTATAATTGATTATAAAGTTCTTTTTAATTTACGTAACTATGACTTATCACGTGTGTCCTATCTCCAAGCTACAGCTACGTTGTTAGATCATTGAACTCACATTTTTCCTCCTAGCCTTCAGTGGCGTGTCAATAGGTAGGGAGCTGCCCAAGGGCTAGGCCGACGAAGATGTCGTTCAAAGTGGTTTTGTTTGTTGTTAAGCTCATAGCTACACAATTGGATATCTGCGCCCTGCCACCCGCGGGCATCGAAAACCGGTTTTTAGCGTTATAAGCCTGCAGACTTACCGCTGAGCCACTGGGAAGCTCACAATGGGTATTTGAAATGTTGAATATTGGCAATAATGTAAAAATATTCTGAAACACGTAAATAGTTTTAAAAGAAGACAAAAGTTTTGTCTCAAAGTCCTTTAAGACTTAATTACACCTATACTGATACTGTACAATATCATTCTAAGTGAAGGAATATATTTTGTCATGTTTATGAAATATATAATTTAATGATTAGATATGAATTATTTGCAGTTTCATTGGATTATTTTCAATTGGGCACAGTGTGCTTAAAAACTTAACGTACGTTGTTATTCACATACGTAATTTTTCAATCTGAAATCACACAATAATTTCGGAAGTTTCTCCTTCTATTTACATTCTATTTAATATTGTTGCGTCAGCGAGTCACATGACTACTGTGGCACCCTCTAGTTTCTAGAACTATCTTGTTCTTTCATGAATGCTCTAGTATTTACTAGATAGGGTAGGCTGGTATATATAAGAGGGGGAATGTAATGTGTGTGTAGACAGTGAGTAATTGATCTGCAGTCAGAAGTATTATTGAGCACGTTCGTTGTTATAGCGTTTGTTTAGCGCGATTGTTGAAGTTGAGTGTATCGGTAAAGTTGTATTCGGAAAGAATAAACCAGTTTTTATTAAGTAAAGCCGTAACTTCGTTCCGACGAAACTTAAGCGACACAAGTTAATACCAATTAACAAACGGAGACGTAACAGTACATTGTGTGTGTGTGTGGTTCAATTGTTGTAGTATTGTTGATGCCAAGTTATTCGACTCTTTGGTATTTTTCTCAGTACCTTAAGTTAGTATTGTTACATTATAGTGCTGCTCGCGTAATTTAGTGAAAGTTTGAGGCCTCAGTGAACACTCAATAAATATAGGTGACCAAGCAAGCACAAGTCCAGTGTAGTTCAGTCAGAAAATTAGTTAGTGAAAGAAAACATGAAGTTAGAGGGTTTGTGAGTGAGCAACTGTAATGGGCGATATTTTAAAGTGAGTTTCACAGTTTAATAGTGATAAGGAGAATAATTTGTCTAGTCAAAGGGTATTCTAAAGTAATTGAGCCTGTCTGTGTGGACTTTGATGAAAAGGAGACAATTCTTTGAAGTTCAGGATATAACTGTGGTAACCCACAGGGTAGCTTAAGTGAATTATTCACTGATATTATTGTGATAAGAGTAGTAAAAAATAATTCGTCTTGTCAATTGGATTCTAATGTAAGTGAATCAGCCTAAGTGGATTTCTGACAAGAAAAGAGAATTATTAAGAGTTAGAGGTACAACTGTGATATCCATAGTGAAAAGAATTTTTGTACATAGCTTGATTTGTTTTGAATATATTGTTACGACAGCGAAAGTCACGTGACTGTTGGTGCATGCGTGACTGAATTTCTCGAATTATCAGGAAACTCCGCGAATTTTGGAGAAGCCTCTTTGCTAGTAGTTACAGTAAGGTTTGGGTATGTTACGTCTCCGTTTGTTAATTAATTTTCCGTAACTTCGTTCCGACGAAACTTAAGCGACACAAGTTCTTTTACT